GCTTTGTTGAACTATAATTTGCTAAAAAAGAAATACAACACAAAAATACATTGTAATTTAAATATAGTGTTTTTAGGAATCCATTGGGATCATTTAGTTTAGCGTAAAATAAATGCAAAAGTTTACCCTTTTGCGATTGTTTGACAAGAAAATTAATTCAATACAAAACACGGTTGAAGGGGGGTTGCAAGAGAACGGTGCACTCAACTATATATATGTGATGGTGGCAAACAACGAAGATCGAGTGGATGAAAGTTGAGAAGTTGGTAATGGTCGTCAACTATGGTAGTTAGTCGATAGCTAATGACATTGATGGCAGATTGGCGAAAGGTTTGTGATACAACAACTGACGAGCGAAAGGTCTATTGTGGTGGAGACTACAATCAGGCAAAAAAACAACTTTGTGGTTTTTGTAGTAGCAGGTGACAACTCATGGCTAACGACGGAGAATGATGATTGATAGTAGTACAATGAGTGGCTACTTTGGTTGCAATGATTGTTGTAGAAGCCATCATTCGCAATTTATTTGAAAATCACCCAAATACAATGAATATTGAATACACTTAACATGGACTACAAGCATTTGAGATTTATTGTAATTTAATTTAAAAAATTATTTTTGCAAGAAAAATGTAGTATTAATTTATACTATTTGGTTGTTTTATGAACTATTTACCTTACTTCCAAAATAGTTTGGCTGCAAATACATGGACAATAACAGAAAAAAAACCAAACTATTGACTGATTAATTATGCACTATTCTCATATCAAAATCAATCCAACAGCTCAAAATAGCTATCTGAACAAACTTTTGTTCAGGATTTCACATTCCAATCAATGTCTGCATCAACGATGAATGACAAAACATGTAAATTTTGGAACAGTCCTGCAAAAAAAACAAAATTGACAGAACCATCTAAAACAATTTTGTAATTATGACGATAATGACATTCAAAACAGCATAAACAGAAAACAAGCAACCAAATGCTCTGTTCCAGCACTCAAAAACTAGCAGATTTGAGATTGGCTATGATCCATCTCATGGAAATTATATACCTCCATCATGAAAGTTAAAAGATCCATGCATTATAAAAACACCAAAATACCCAAATTAGTACACAATTATTGCAGAATGACAGAACCCCCCCTTATCTTTACTGATGCTTCTTGTCCTTTGTTTGTGCCGCCTTAGGAATCTTACTTGCCACCTTCTCATGAATAAAGTTGTAATGTTTCTCGAGTTCCGCCGTCGCCTTCTCCCAGTAAAAGTCGACTTTGTCGTCATATTTCTCATATAGAACAGGCACGGTAAGCAGCAGAACAAATGCTGTTGATGGGCACATGAAGATTAGATATGGGAAATTTACATAACATGGGTCTTATGCCTTTACAACTCAGACCTAAACTTTAATATTTATATATAGTACTTCGAGCTTTAAAGATATGCATGAGAAGGAGTATTTTGCTTTTAAAGTGGTAATAGTACTATTTTGATGTGATATTGACTAGTTAGATGATAATTTAAATTTAATCAATCTTCTTGTTTATGAGAAATTTACCCACATAAAATAATTCTTATATATTTACATCTAACTTCTAAAGTTTCATATTTACATATATATGTATATATATAGCACTTGGTGCTTTAAACCTACATATTAAAGGATGAATTTCACTTTTAAATTGGTAATAATGCTATTTTTTAGATGATGATAAAGATTTGAGTGTTGCGTGTGTAAATAGCGAAAGTTTAGGTGTGAGATATGTAAATATATTTGAATTGTGTGCTATTTATGTAAATGCCGCTTGGATATATCTACTTCCACATAAACAAAAGAAATCGCAGAAAGCTCTGAAGAAAAAAAGGTGGAGAGAGAATGTTTTTAATTGTATAATTACCTATATAAAACAAGGTTAAGAAACTGCAGGAGCTACCAACTGCTGAAAGAGCCCATAAACCAGCAATCACCTGGAAAGTTTTTGAGATTTTCAGTATGAAAAAAAACAAGAAAAGTTTGTGAAAGGTTTTGAGTTGAAACTATTAAATAGAATGAAGACTTACACAGATACCACTCAATTTTTCAAGCATACTACCTTACCTTTCTATGAAAGGGTGTGTTTACCATTTTGAAAGTTAAAATGGTGGTATTTTTTATGTGATGTGAAAGCCTTGATTGGTACAAATGTAATTATTGAAGTTTGGGTGTTCAATATGTAAATAGATAGGTATTGGGTTGTGTGTATGTAAATGCCCCGTAGATGAAATGGACATACAGCTAAGAATTTCTTCAGGTCCCTTCCAGCCACGGCGTCCCAAAGAAAAGCAAAGATTTTGTTTATCTCATATCTCAGCGATAAGGCGACGTTGACTGTCAGATCCTCAGGAATGCTAATCTCGGGAATGGAAGGAGGGGATCTGATGGTTGAGAAAATATGAGATTTTTATTTCATATATTCGGAGAATGAAATGAGAGAGAGAGAGAGAGAGAGAGAGAGAGAGAGAGAGAGAGAGAGAGAGAGAGAGAGAGAGAGAGAGAGAGAGAGAGAGAGAGAGAGAGAGAGAGAGAGAGAGAGAGAGAGAGAGAGAGCTCACTTGCTGATAAATGAGGTTGCATTGGACCATAGGAAGAGGATAGCGAGAAGGAGAATGAGGCCATAGGAAACCAGAGTCAGCAAATGGTAGTCCAGCAGTTCAAATAAGATCCAGATGGCGGTTGCCACTGCGAGACTGCCAGCTGAGATTTTCTTGTTTCTCCACAGGAATACATCAGCAGCTGCATTAGAAAGAAAGGATGTGTAAGCTTAGGAGTTAGAAACATAAAAATTGCTTAATAAGATAGATTACGTACATATATATATATATATATATATATCATCATCATCATCACCACCACCACCATCACCATCAATGCTATCACATTATTATGGGCCCAATTTTATGACTCGTCATTTTCCATTGAATCCAATTGAGTGATGTTATAGATGTTAAACAAAGTTTTCCCAAATCATTGTGAGTAACTTCTATTCATGCAATGCTTTAAAACTAATTTCATTAGCTTATTAAACTGCCCAAGTTTATCTTAAATTAAAGTATCTTTGATAAATACAACTCCTATCATTCACCCAAGATGAGCACTCTTTAAGGAGTAAAGTGTCAAAATGGAGTAAGGTGTCAAAACAGTCCCTTGACAGTTTATATGGGTTCATTTTAGTCTCAGAGTAGATAAAAGTGCCAAATTAGTTCTCAAACTTTTTAATTGGGGTTGATACTCATTTGTGGGGACTATTTTAGCACAATAAAGTATTTTGGGGACTAAATTGGTAATTTTATAGACTCTGGGACTAAAATAATCCCCTCTGCAAAGAGTTATGAGACTATTTTAACACTTTTCTCATTCTTTATGTTATCCTTCTTAAAATTGTCACACATCCACCTTAACATGCTCAACATTATCCATAGATTGAACTCAATGTGATATTTGGTTTCAAATATATAAAACATATAATAGAATGAAGTGTTGATATTATACTTATATGCATAAAACCGCCCATATTATTTTAAGCTAAAACTAGATTAGATAATATAATATATCTAACACTTAAGCAACCAAATGAGGTGCTTGTAAATAAAAAAAAATGTTTTTAAGGAAATGATGACTTCATTTTCACCCATTTAAGTGTCAAAATGAAATCATCACTTTTGAATAAGATATGTTGAATTGAGACGGTTTGAGAAATCTGAAACAAATGATAAACTTAGTCAAAATCATCAATTTTTTCAAAACCTAACTTTCTGCATCAATCACCACTACCTCAGATTTACCCACTCCTAACCAAAAGCCCTAAAAATAAGAGAAGCTTTAAATAGAAGGAATCCAAGCATGCATTAAAGATTGAAAAAAACAAATACAAAAGGAAGTCGTTAAATATTAAAAAATCAAGAAAAAACCCGACTATGCCAGGCATGAAATTCTCGCCAATGCAATTTCAATGAAGGTTTGACACATAAAATACCACCAACTGACATTTTGAAACTTAACTGTGGATATTGATTTTAAATTTGCAATTTTCTCATCAGTACTCCATTTATGAGCCTTTTAAAGGTATAAGATTTGAATTTTATTTTAGCTTATCAAATTCAAAACATTCATCTCACTTCACTAATCAAAACTTAGTGAAATATCATCTTAAATGCTTAGCA